CATGTAGGTGTTGACATTGCTGTACGCTAAGAGGCAACAGGGAGGAAATCCACAGTGTTTTTAGTGAAGGCTACGAAAAGCTGGTGACGATAAATGAAGGCAAGGTACAGGATCAGGGGGTGCTGATACAATGTTTCTTTACTTGAGAAACAAAGGCCTGATCCACTTTTTAATGATTACAGGTCTCCTAGTAAGAGACAACCATCCCAAACCATTGGGCACCAAGCCAACTTACTCGTGAAGTGCACAAGTTAACATAAGAGTCTCCGAACAAGCATGCGTGCACATATTCATCAACACATCAATTGGAGACAACAAATATTACACCATAAGTATTACATGCCGTCACAAACTAATAAGCCGATAAAAATCATCAAAACACAAGCAATACACTACCCTAAGCATCACTATCGATCATTCAATTAGAATATTAAGTAAAATAAAGAAGAAATCATGTACTAAATGGTTGCTATTTAGCAATAACCCACCTCAGGGACATATATGCTGCCAGTTGTATTCTGTGAAATGCCTTCAAGAAGCAGAGACATAACATTAGGAGGAAGCAGTGACTTATTGTCAGGGGGTTCAATCTTCTTCCCACAAGCAAACACATCAACCACAGTCATCTGCACAAAGTTGGGAAAAATCGTACAAAATGAAACAGACTCTCAGATCTCTACCAATTACATCAATGGCTGAAGCAATCAACACTCCTCCCTGCACTCGCCTCCCAAAGAAAAAAATTTCCCAAGATAAGTGAAAGCAAAATAAAAATCCACCAACCTCATTCAAAGTTAGGGTCCCGGTTTTATCGCTGCAAATAGTTGTTGCAGAGCCCATGGTTTCACAGGCTGATAGCCTCCTGACCTGCAGTTCAATTGTCAATCATGGGACATCGGAAAATATGAAAGTATATGGTAAGAACAAGAAAATGACTATCACTTCAAATAAGATAAGCAACATACCAAGGCCTTGTCTGCCATCATTTTTCTCATTGAATAGGCAAGCCTACAAAGAGATTATGATTTTCAGTAAAATAAAAAATGTTCAATGCAAATGAAGAACATGTGTATACATGCATCCAAGCCTGCAAGTGCAATAAATACAAATGAGGTATCATAACCATTAGAAGGAAATATTTTTTACGGAGGAGTATCAGACATCCACAAACTTCTTCTAAACTTTAAAACAGAAAAACGAACACAGGATTCGAGAGAAGATGGAAATGAACAAACGAACTTACGTCAGAGTGACAGCCAATGGAAGCCCTTCAGGTACTGCAACAACTACAATGGTCACCTACAGTTTGACCTAAATAAGTTAACAGGTCAAAAATAAATATTAATGT